TTCATACCATCAGCACGTAATGGCAGGTCCTGAAGGAACAACTAAATTTCTTGCTGCAGGCCAACGACAATACCTGTTTTTCCTGTAGAAGATGAAAAATACTTCCAAGGATGAGCGCACAGCGCATGTCCCCTCAATTCATCCTTGCGTCTTCTGTTTCAAAAAGTGCTCCCTATCTCCAGAGCCAGCTGATCTCCCTTTCTTCTGACCAAATAAATATGCTTTTCTACGCCCGACGGAGTCACACTACAGTCACCTAAGTCTAACAAGAAAGTGAAAAAGAGCTCTCTTGATTCTTGATATCATTCCACCCTACCATTGACAGGTTTCCCCGTGCTCAAAATAGCCCTGCCCACTAATTCCAGAAGTACCAGCAGAACATTAAAAATAAATAAATAAATAAATAAACAAACAAATAAATAAATATATAAAAAGCTTTGTCTGGTTGAGAAAAACAACATTTTTGTCCTCACTGAGTGCAGCCGGCAGGCACAGTCTGCTCAGTTCCTGTTTTGATTTTAGAGAGCAGCTCGAACTCTGCCACGCAGCCTTTGGAACCGGCTGCCCTTTCCATCCGTATTCAAGACTCGTCTCAAATGAACGATTTTCCTTTTTATTTTATATTTATATATACCGCTGCGTACACCCCGGGCCTGAGGTATCCAAAGGGCAGGATGCCGCCAACCCAGAGAGCTGGCGTCTCCGACAGCAGCAGCTCCCTCCCGGCAGCAGGATTTTATTGCCTACCTAGCATCACGGGGCAAACTGCCGAGAAACCTCTGTAAGCCGGGGTGTCACTCAGTATTTGGCTTCCCTCGCTCTGCGTCATCGTGAGACCTGCGTCTGAAGCAGAGTCTCGGTTGGGGATTTCAGCTTTCAGCTGAAGGTGGAAGCTCTCGTTCGCAAGAACAGACTGTTCCGTGGCAATACCTGCGATGTTAGAGAGATCGGGCGCTCCTGTTGAGTTAAGCACAAATCAGTGCATTTGTCTTTCGCTTTTTGAGCCTGGAATTCAGGACTGTCTCCAGGCACAAGTGGAATCACCACAAACTTCATTATATCCACCTCACTAAGCCAGAATTAGCAAAACTGTTTAAACTCTGCTTATACAAGCACCAAAAAGAGAAATACCCCAAGAACTCCACGTCAGCAGGCTCGCTCGGAAGAGGCTTGAGGGTAAGTCCTTCAGGCAGGACTGTCATCCCTTTCGTAGCCTGAGCAAAACAGTTCACCTTTCAGAAGATTTCCACCTTTACCCAAGGACGTCCTGTTTTACAATACATAATTTTAGGCGCCTTTCTTTTAAGGCAAAAGATACTGTTTACCAGAAACAAGAAGAGAACAAACACTGCTTGCAAAGCATCCTTTCTGACCACAAATATCACAGAATTCCCTTCCAACGTGTTCTGTAGCCGGGTAATAAAAGGCATGCTCTCCCTTACACTCCCACGTCCACAAAACGTTAACGAGTTCCAGGGTACAATGAAGCTTTCTCCATAGAAAAATGGTGTAGGTGTAATAAAGGCACCTATCGTTTTCACGACATCACTACGCCGCATAGCCGAGAAGTCTCTCGGGTTCTCTGCTGCAAAGATCTCACACACACCCCCCCCCGGGTAATAAAAGGCATGCTCTCCCTTACACTCCCACGTCCACAAAACGTTAACGAGTTCCAGG